CCTTTTGGAGACGTTAGGAGACACACCCTTGTTCGCTACCTACAGAAACAATTGAAGTTCAAAAATGTGTACATTGGGCTGGGTATAATGGTAGGTGTGTGGAGGGCTCGGATCAATTGCGGCGCCCATGAACAAGCTATTTAGGAAGGATGCAAAATGGGAGTGGCCGAGGTCCAGGGGGCAACCTTTGAACATGTAAAAATGAGGCTGACGCGGATACCTTTGTTGGGCTATCCAGAGTTTGCGTGCCTTTCCAAGTAATGGCAGATGGTAGTCCTACAAGATCGACATGACGGAGCCGGTGCACGGTGGGTGTCCACCGCCAAGTACAAGTAGTATTTCCAAGTCGATGGAGTCGTGGAGGTCTCTTCAAATGAAAACCGCGTAGATAGAGCTGGTGTGGCACGATGTAAGTGTAACGGCAGTTACTGCGACATTCTAGTAAGACGGTGAGCGTGCGATTGTGGCGAAGTTTTGGTTGAATCCAAAGCGGTCGGAGAAGTCGCGGTTGTCGGCAAAGATTGCACGAAATGAAAGGGCGGAGGGTCGCTGAAGGAGGTGGCGAGCAGCATGGAGAAATGATGGAAGAGCTCATTTGGAATTTGGTGATAGCGGAAGAGCCGACCGAGATGTTGACACAGGGTGCGACAAGAAAAGCATTACAGTACGAAGTGAGCAAAATGCACCTCTGACATGCGGAGGTACAGGGGGCAGCGTGTTCTTAAGAGCCGTTGAGTGCCTGACGTCAGAGGGCGGGGCATCGGAGAGAGGTGTGAGAGCTGAGAAGACGTACGAAGAGCGATCGAGGCCGAGGGCGAAGCGGTCCGTGGTATCAACTGCTGAATGGCAAAGCTATGGTGTTGAAGGCTGTCGTAAAAAAGTTGAGTACGCCAAGGTCATTATGAACGTCGTCCTCATATCGCTGGCGGAGCCTCACTGCTGTCTATTTGACCTAGCTAGTCGAGCAACTACACACGTTCTAGCACTAAATGCATCTCTAGCACTTCTACGTCGTTGAGCGGGATCCACACTCTCGTCTTTTTATGAGTTATTGGTGTTTGCATTAATTGCATATAACCGTACCTTATCCTCAGTAAGGATGGCCGCTAACATCGCTGAGCCGAATCGAACTGTCGGTACGAAACTACCTTTCTCGCCATTCTCCACGGCTACACTGGTGTTATCGTGCTGCATCCGAGATACGTCACGGCAGCCATGCGTTTCACTGCGTTGACTGCTCCTCCGGCAATGAACGGAACAACAACTGTTTGGCTGTACGCAATACCTTATTATAACGCGTTCGTCCTGACGTCCATAATCGTATTGTGCTTCTTCATGAAGTAGTAACGCGTTCGTCCTGACGTCCATAATCGTATTGTGCTTCTTCATGAAGTAATGTCGTCGTGTTGTGCTTGTGTTGCAGGAACGACCCCGGAACGAGAAGGACGTTACGATGGCAGCTAAGCGATATCTACATGCTGATAGCGTTGCGATCCAGGACGAAGAGAAGGATGATACAAGTTTCTCCGAATATTTCAGCTATAATGATAAAGGTGATTCAGAAAAGAACACAAATGCGGAGTCAAGTAAGGTGTTGACTTGCATGGAGGGTGTACTAAGCGGTAAGGCTCCCACAGCTGTGTATACCGGTATGTTAATGGATTAAGACGATAAACAGGAATAGCAAGACGCCACTCAGACTCGCTCGGCACGAAGGTTGGTCAAGAAAAAAAAGGTCAACAAGCCATGCGCGCCCTGATGAGACGTGACGCGGGCAGTAAAGTTGCAGCGCGTGGAAGAAAAAGGATGACGCCTGAGCCGACAACGGCATGCCGATAAAGCCATGAAGAGGTTGCAGGGTCAATGACAGCACGAAATAATGCAGCATCAAAGTGCGCTCGCTAGAGTTTGAATTGCAGAGCGTCAACAAATACGACAGGGTCGATTGACTGACGATGACACCGAAGAGCACGCCGTTGCAACCGAGGTTGGATTACTGATATCATGCACGAAAGTAGGTGGCGTGGCTAGGGCTTAAAGGAAGCCAATGGCGTGAGATTCAAGATCTAAGGCACGAACTAGATGAATTATGGAGAACTAGTGTTGTACGGTGTTCACTTTATCTACGTTGAAACAAATTTCGGCGGGATACGGCGGCGCTTTAAGATGAAGTACGTGTTTGGTCAAATCATGCAAATGGGCGCAAGTTTTTTTAAAAGATGTTACAAGTGCTGATACGTCACTTCGCGGAGACGGCGTCGAGTACAAGGACTTTGACTCCCGCACCATGCCTGCCTTTGCCTTCGCGGCGAAGAAGGCATCAATGACCTAGCACTATTCGCGAGGGATGTGCCACTGTCTCGTGACACAGTACTTTGTGCCGGGCACGAGATCAATATCATGCCGTACATCTCGGTCTGCTGGGAGTAGGGTCGGTGGGAATTTGTTCACCACGCCTGCATACTCTGTCCCCAAAGGGTACACCGCTTCTTAAGAAGCCTCAAGAGCCCAAGCGCGCTTGACGCTACTTGTTCAACTCCTCTAGAACGCCCTTGGCTAGGACTCAACACGTCCCGAGTGACATTTGGGCTTATGAGCACCATCTCAGCAAACTCCACAGTCTTAAAATTGGCCAGAAAAAAACGCTGCCGTCATTTCGTTGAGGTTCGGTATCTCTGCAACCTCTAACAATGGTTCTTAGTGAACAACAAATGCCTTAAGGGATAGACCAGTCTCGCCATCGAAGGTGCGATAACACTCTTCCACCGGCCGCATCGGAGGAGCCCGGGCCCCGAGCTCCGAGTCACTTGAAGCGACGTCGATCTGAAGGAGATTCAGGCACGACCAGCAGCGGGGGTCGCCGTGTCGTCGACGGCGACGGTGGAACGTCGTTACCCACGTCTGGGGGTGTCGTGATGTCGACATCCGAGGCACACGAGGCATCGTGTGAAGCTATATTACCCACACAGGAAGCGCATCCCGCGTCTTCTTCTTCAGTTATGGTCTGGGCGACCTCATGTGGCCCTATGCTACTGACACAGGGCGCTGTCCTTCGTCGATTTGAGAGGGCGAACACGCTAACGGATTAAGTCAGGGTGATACGACGCAGCCCGTACCGCTCACGAAGACTTAGTTCTTCCCCAGTAGGGCGCTCCGCCCCTACTGGTCTCCGGCGTTTCTATGACCCCGGGGTCCTGGCTTCCACCATCGACTCTTGAGGACGGGCTTGGGGAAAGTCCGCCTGCGGGGAAGTCGTACTTGGAGTGGTCCACCTTCCCGCAGACGAAACAGCGAATGTTACGCTGCTGTTCGGCGGACCCGATCTACATGGGAACTGGTCCGGTGGAGTTGGCCCGCCCAGGATTCGACACAGAATTCTCTGGCCACGCTGAGGCCGGCGTATGGGCCTGGCGATGGCTGTATTCTTCCTGAGGAGCTACTTAAATCGCCTCTTCGAGGGTGCTTGACTGCACTCGGAACAGCTGAGTGCGCGCAGAGTCCACGCGAAGGCCATCCATGAGCACTGTCACTTTATTGTGTTCTCTGAGTGGGTTGCCCACTAGGGACGCCGTGGGCTCCCGGATCTCTTGGATGTACTCGTGCAGCTCACGCATTCTTTGCTTGCATGAGAGGAAGCACGAGCGCTGACGGTACTCGTAGCTCGCCAGGAGGAACGCGGCTTGAAGCTGTTCACACAGCTGAGCCCAGGATGTGAGACATCCAGGCGATGGCGCCTCCCGCGTGTACGCCGAACTCTTAGCACGACCGCTAATGTTGGAGAGTGTAACAGCAACGCAGAGTTGCTCGATCGAGATCAGAGCCGCATTCATCGCGAGAGCTATCTCTCGATCCCAGAAGTTAACCCTTTTGCCGCCAAAATCAAGAATATGCTGTGTTTAACAAAACTCGTTGCTCCCACTATGTTAGAGAAGTTTACGGCGCTGACAACCCACCTGCTTTTGAATAAAAAAGTGAGCCCCGGGTATATCTTTAATCATCCAATAGCATTCGAGATAATGTGCAGAAATTCAGTTCGAAGAACAACATTCACATTAGTAATTTGAGTGGTTTATCGTTTACGAGTATTCGAAACTCCATACAAATACTCCAAGACGTCGCCCGTACAGCAATTTATACGGTTACCCCGTTCAAAGTGTATCTGGGCTACAAGTAATCACTCTCTGAAACCTCGTCAACAAGAATGTCGGACCTTACAGACATCCAAGACGCGACCTTACTTCGCTTACTAAGATCCTAAGTGCATGTATTTATCCACGGCGACCTGAACGCGACTCATATAACTCTTACGTACGACAATGTCAGGCTTGCTATACTATCACCTGGAGCAATATTGCACGTGGAACAGACCACAATCTGCACTTCGTCCTGTAAGCGTTACAGATACATATTATCTAAGCTACTCTACATGCTAGACAGCGAAATTGAGGATGTCATCATTAGACGCGTTTTGCTGGACGTTGAAGATGTTTTGCATTCCAAGCAGTTCGATCGTCTGAGAACACTTTGATTATCTGCTCCAGCGTGAGCGACACGTGTTACCTATACAATATTGCGATTCATTTATCTTAAGTATTGTAAGTCGCCCCTTCAATACCCATTGTTATTTCTCCGAGATGCCCAATACACAGTAGATTGGTCAGAATCTGCAAATGCCAAATTTATAGATGCCTGCTCATCACAGAATATTGTCCGTCATAAAATGAATCGAAAATTTTGGAAAGGTGCAAGCGGATGTACAGTAATTGGCAGACTCCGGACAATGTTCTGGAAGGTCGCCATACGGAATGACTGAGCCATGCTAGATAAAATCCAAAATATTTATTCCGGATGACAGTGGATAGGTTTAAATTGCCATTCAATAGAATAAAAACAAATCGTTGGTTCGCGTTGCGACAGTCTTCTCTTTCCTTTATTCTGCTTTTTTTCAGCGCGGACCCCTCAAGTGCCGAAGGTCAAGTACAATCCCTCCACATCCTCACGCCCCGGTAGCTTAGCGGTAGAGCGGGAGACAATGTCTCCAGGCCACTGGTTTGAGCCCAGCCGGGGGCAACTATAATGTAATGCGCTCTGTGCTGTGCTGTGCTGTGTAAATGTGTGTATGAATGCGTGCTGCTGTGTGTTATGGTAGGTCTACTGCTGCCCACAAATATGACGATCGAGTACAGGCATCAACAGCAGCTCCGCTTAATTTTTGTGCAAGGAATAGGACGTCAAGTGTCCAGTACGCCTCGGGATGTGACGCGCGCAGCTGTCTCCAACGCATACGCAGCGACGATGCCTTGCGGGTTGGCTTTTTGTGGTCGAAGGCATGGAGTTTCTCGTTTGCGGGTGCATCCATTTAAATCGCCAATTTCCAGACTGAGTGCTTCCAAGCCTGGTACGCAGTGGGCCGGCTCGTGACGGTGGCGTAGCAATGCTGAACGGCTTCTGATACAGTATCATCATTATGTTTACTGCCGCTTTTGCATCTGCACGCTTGTTCTGCTCCTTTTTACCTTTCACTGTCTCCCAAATGTTGTTTGTGTACCAGTTTAGGAAGCTTCCCGCCAGTGTCGGTGCTGTTGCGGGTGCTACAGAAAGTGTGCGTGTGGCTACAGGAGGCGCAGTTGCCTCTGTTGGTCGCAGAACACCTTCAAGTGTGACAGGACACTTGGGTGACGCAGCCAAGGCATCTTCAACGCGAACAATACGGTCGTTGATCGCCGCTAGATGGGCCAACATGCTCTCCAAGCTCGATGCAAGCTGCGAGTCGCCTCCAGTAGCAGTGCGGCTGAGCTGCTCGTGGTTCATGGTGCGCCAACGATATGACAGCTGGAAGCCTCATTCACGGCAAGTCGCGGCTGTGATCGAGCACCCCAGGAGTGCGTTTGTGGCTGCGAGAGCTCGCCCCATCTCGTACAGGTAGCGTGACACGTACGCTGGAGTGGTAGCACTTTTTGTTGTGGTATCTAACACTGTGCCCATGTGAATTAGCAGCGCTGCATACGTAGCATTCACGACGCCGACAGCGACATTCAGCCGAGCCCAGCACGTGCCGGAACAATTCATTGCGCAGCGTCACGGGCTGCCCAAACTCCGCTGTCGAAAGACGCTGCGCAGATCATTAGCAGTGGGGGTTGAGACAGGGAAGTCTGGAGCCTTGTATCCTGCCAGTACTTTTGCAACACTTTGATCATCATGCGTGGCTGTTCCTATGTAGGCAAAGGCATTCGTAAGTGACGCCAACAGCCAAGCACCTCTTGTCGATATCCACTGGATTGCCAGCTTCGGGGACGCATTTGCGTACGCAGCGGCACCTCGACGCAGCGGGTGGCTGCTCATATTCGGCGTCACGGTCTGGCGCACATTGGGAGGCATGTTTCGGATGCAATCGCGGATGACTTCAATAATATAAATCGCTATGTTTAGCCGCTTCCTCTCCCGTTAGGTGCAGGCCAGGTCTCCTTTTCAATGTTGTCCTGCAAGCTCCTTCAAAAGATCACAGTTTCCTCTTGCGTGTATGTGTGGCCCCCTGGAAGGTCCGACACCGCGCAACGAAGCACTAGTGGGAAGAGGTATTCGGATGAGTCATCGAAGCAGACAAGTAGCATACCAAACGCATGCAACATGCACTGTTGCCATCTCTCTGCGGACTTGTAAATAGATACACCTTGGACAGCGGATTGCTTTAAACGAACGATATGCAAAACAGCTCTCCAGATGCAAAGATCAAAATCTGTTGCTCCTGGGCGAAACACGTATCGATGGCCCTTCCAAATGTATGCCTCATCATAGCTAGCATAGCTGCATCATGAACACCCTTAATTGATGTGACCTCATCAGCATGAACAGCAAGATGTTCCACCAACACACATAGATCAGATAAAGTCCAGCCCGGAGAATCATTGCTCTGCACATTTGAACGGATTTTCCGTTCCTCGATAGCACTAGCCATTTTGTCTCGAATTTTAGCAGCTTGCTTGGCGTCAGAGAGATCCACTGTATCGTTCGCGTAATAAATTCAAAATTTGAGAGAGGTAGCCCAAGGCTGTTGCCTTTGCTAGGAATCCATCAGCAGCAGGTGTCTGTAAAAAGATTGCAAAGACTGTTAGTAAAGAGTAGAAGCTTTGCATCGGCATGTTAGTTGCATTGGATAATGAGGAGTGCATTTTGTCTATGGCGCTATTGCGTAGATCTGTTAATAGCAGGAATTCGTTGAAAACCTTCACTGCAGCAAGCTCCTGCCCTACCGTGCCAACAGGCATGTCAAGCTCGCGAGGCGCCATCCTCATCTTTTTTGTAACAGCTGGAAGGGATAAAAGGGAAGCCTCTTCTTACAAATGCAATTATCTCCTGCCTATTAAAATGTCTCTTGAAACTCCTTTCCGGTACGCAATGCAATTATCGGGTACGTATCGTTTTGGCTTGACTTCATTATGGTAAACCTTATTATTAGACCCGGTAAAAATACCGAAAAATTCCAGAAATAGTTTACCCCTACCCCTATTTATGCATGATTGGTATAATTCTGCTCTGGGCATGCCTATTGGTTATCGAGGGATTACAGCTACAGTAGGGGTTGGATGTCCGGCATAATAGAACTTATCAACAGTAAGCATCGGAGAACAAAGTGTAGATAATATTTTTTTATGAGTGCCTGCCCTAATAAAAAAAGTCGTAACATCGGCGGCGGTGAGCTCGTTTGGCTTCGTCGTGAAAGAACAAGGTGATGTATGTTGGTGTAACCTATACCGCCTTCTCTCAAACTTGCAACTGTTTCTCTTCTCGCTAAAGCTATTGCGGGTCATATCCAGCACCGTACGTCATTAGATTGTCTGCGACTGCAAGCTAAATCGCTGGTTGTCTTCAAACCTTGGCCACCTTTTGAATCAAGAGTTTTGATCCACTTCCGAGGGACATTGCCAGAAGAGGCGCCAGGAATTTTTGTCCTACGGTCGTGAAGCAGTGACACTCCCATGAGGGGCGGGTCACCCACCGGGTGCCCGGCACCGTGCCGATTGGCACCTTTGTTCTATCTTCTTCCATTGGAAGTTCCAATGCCCGCGTCATCACCCCGGAAAATTAGTCCGAAATGCACCAACAGATCGTGCTCGTGGCTAGGTTGCCATCGACGGACGTGAGCCAAGCGCCGTGCCGGACCGATCGTCACCGGCAGGCACCAGACGCGAGGTGGATGTGCCGTTTGGACCTAACGCTACCATTTTTTTTACAGTGTGCCGCTCATTGTTAAGTTGCTGCAATATGTCAAATGTTGCCGATCGCGTGCCAAAACCATTTCTTTCGAATTCGGCACCGGGCAATAGGAATTCCAGCGACGTTAGAAGTGTCTGGGCGGCCAGGCACAGAGGCCAGTGGCGGCTGCAAGATGACGCTTTCATGAAGTAGCATCCACGAACGCTCACAACCAAATTGGTCGCACAGAGCTCACAAGTAAACCGCACGCCTAAGTAATGCCGCTACCAACGCTGTACGCCGAGCGTTTTCGCCTACGCCGCCCTCTGAGCGACGCGCTGTATGGACCTGTGGGACTCTACGAGGACGCAGAGTGCGGCGAAATTGTGGCAATCAAGCAGGTGTCACTCACGCGTGCAGTGGCGGCGCTGCGTCGTAACCCCAACGTGGACAACCCCTGGAGCGAGCACAAGGTGGTCTCTCGCCTCATGACACTGCCGCCGCACACCAATGTCGTGCATTTCCGCGGCGAGTTTCTAAACGCACAGGGCACCTGGTGTGTTGTCATGGAGTTCTGTGCAGGCGGCGACCTGTGGGACCTATTAGAGCGAGCACCCAAAAACCGCCTGCCCGAGATCGATGCACGCCATCTCTTTCGCCAGTGCGTGCGTGGTGTGCAGTTCTTACACTCGCATGGTATTGCGCATCGTGACCTGTCGCTCGAGAACGTCTTCTACTGTCGCGGCGTGTGTAAGATCGGCGACTTCGGGCTCAGCACGGACTCGCCGTTAAGAGGAATTGGTGAGGGTGTAGGCAAGGCTTACTACATGGCGCCCGAGGTGGTCAACCAAGAGGCGTACGATGCCTTCGCAGCCGACATGTGGTCGCTCGGCATCATGTTTTTCATCATGCTCACGGGCTCACCACTCACGTCCAATGCGTCGCGCGACAACAAGGCCTTTGTTGCTTTCTGCGAGCTGGGCGTGGCGAAGGTCATTGATTCGTGGGGACTCTCGGATCGGATATCTGCCGAGACAGTTGGGCTACTGGACAAGCTACTCAGACTGAACCCAGCGGAACGAGCAACAGCAAACGAACTACTTAAGCAATTAGAGATGACGGCAACGCCGATCACCCAGCGATAGTGTAATATGTAATAAAGTGTCGTAGTTGATACTAGTATTGGATAGGAAGAACCATGACGATACGACGGAGCGCGTAGAAATTATCAACGACTTAGGACATGGTATGTGCTAAATAAAGCTGAGGTGGAAATCCGTTGAGAGAATGCTGGGCGAATTGAGACATTGTGAGCTATAATGCTGCCTAGAATAATACACCATTTCAGGTTCGTTCTCCCCACCGCAGGAGTTCGATACAACCACCCCAGAGCCGACTTGCACATAGGACCGGGCAAATCTCAGTTCAAAACACCCAATGCCTGAGTTCAATACACACAAGTGTCTCTTTTATTTTTCCAATTACTGGGAAAGTACCAGCTTTTGTCATTTCGAGACCATTCGAGAGTTCAAAGGCATCCATCCATTCATCGCTTCGCCTCGCGCCCCTTTCGCTTTGGCAGAATGGGTAACACTTACTCTGAAGACGTTCGTGCACGTGTCCTCGAGGCAGCGAAGAAGGGTGAGAACTGGCGATTGGTAGCAGCTCACAACGGCGTTGTGGTGGAGACTGCGCGGGCTTGGGTGGAATGGTTTCGAATTCTCGAATGGTCTCGAAATGACAAAAGCTGGTACTTTCCCAGTAATTGGCAAAAAAATAAAAGAGACACCTGTGTGTATTGAACTCAGGCATTGGGTGTTTTGAACTGAGACTTGCCCGGTCCTATGTGCAAGTCGGCTCTGGGGTGGTTGTATCGAACTCCTACGGTGGGGAGAACGAACCTGAAGTGGTGTAGTAGGTCGGACGGTCCGACGCATGCCCAGTTCTCAAGTTGCCGATTTATGGGTTGTTGTCTCTGCTTTGATGCTTATCTTTCCTTTTTGTCAAATGGCCTCAATAGTATTTCATGCCACGAATCAAGGTAAAAAAGACTGATGTTCACTGGCCACCGCTGATAAGAAGCAGCGCTCATACTAGCATGTCTTCTAGTCTTCCTCACCGTAAGACAAGTTCGCCAGCTGCTAATTTGTCATAGCTTCCTTCTCGTCCTGTTGAGTGGCCTGTCGTCGACAAATGCAGCCAGCTATAAAGCTGAGGTCATCTCGGAAATCCGTTGAGAGAATGTTGGAACGATGCTTCAGCCTTTCATTTTTGTCAAATGGCCACAATAGTATTTCATGCCACGAATCAAGGTAGGAAAGACTGATGATCACTGGCCACCGCTGGTAACAAGCAGCGCTCATACTAGCAGTGCTGCAACTGTCTTCTAGTCTTCCTCACCGTAAGACAAGTTCGCCAGCTGCTGACTTGTCATAGCTTCCTTCTCGTCCTGTTGAGTCGCCTGTCGTCGACAAATGCAGCCAGCTGCTCCCATTATCTTATTGGCAACAAGGCGCATAGGCGGCTGGTCGAGTGCCAAAGCTTTTCAAGGTAACCCAGAAGGCAATTCGATTTGGGCTTAGCAACACGTAGTGTACCAAGTCTTATCGCAACTTAGTCGCAACAGAAATTAATTCGGCAAAGCACGGCGTATTTGTTAAACACACTGAGGAGATTGTCCATGTTGCTGGCTTCAAGGCGCTCGTAATTAATTAAGGTGGGGTATTGTACGGATCCGCGTACAAGTATCGCGTGATCGCACAGAGGGTGCGAGGTCGTCAAATACCTAGATGAGTGACGAGTGCTTGTGGCTCACTAGCTAGCATTATGTGAGACCAAAACAACTCAAAAGCGGGCTCTGAATATAAGGCGCTGTACATGTATTGCCGCAAATAAAGGACGTTTAGAAACATGGCTGTCGCAATAATAGTGCAATTGAATTGGTAATAAGGCGGATAAGACGAAATAAACACCCGTAATCTCTAACCGAGCAACATAAGACATCCAACTTCACCATCTTATGTTGCTATGAGGGGGTCAGAAGACAAAGGGCCGCTATCTTCCAGCACGACTTCTCGCTCACATTTACTCGTCCTACGAAGTGCAGCCAGCCACTATCGTCGTTGAAACTGTTCATTCTTCACAGGGCTTGACCCCACGATGTTGCTGAAAAGGATTAGTATTCATTAAATACATCTTCACATTCTCAACACCACTGTACGTTTGCATCCTGCCCACGTGGAGTAGACTCGCAGACAAAAGATTACATAGCTTATAGTAAGCTCATTTTAAAGCGAATGGCCCAGAATGAATAAAGCTCGAGCGCCTAGTCGGAGAGAGCGTGACTTACTTCGCGTCGTGGCTCGTCTTGTTGGCCTTCTGTACACCGTGTACTACACGCTGTCGCTCAGTACATGTACCGGTAAGTTTGAGTCTCGGAAATTGTCCAAGTGCAACCTTCTCTGAACATTGTTTGGTGACGGGTTTATGCACCGGCTCCAGCTTTCGGCATTGCGTTCTTCATTTCCCATTTCGTGCTGAAAAATCTAAGGTTATAAATATCCGAAGCGTCCTGAGTTGCTCAAGGACCACCCTTGTCATTCGACTTCACATCACCAGAACGGCTATGATTCGCCAGCGCTACCGACTTGAGCGCAAGATCAGCGACGCGCTTTATGGTACAGTGTGCGCCTGTGAGGACACGCGCCACAACAATGAGCTTGTGGCCATTAAGCAGGTTTCACTTGAACTAGCCACCAGTCTGCTCGAGGTGCACCCTAACGCTGACAACCCGTGGCAAGAACGCCGTGCTATCAATAAGTTGATGGCGTTGCATCCACACCCAAACATCGTGCACTTCCGGCAGGAATTCCTACACAACGAGTCCTGGTTCGTGGTCATGGAGCATTGCCCCCAAGGGGATCTCTGGGACCGTGTACAACGCTCGTCGAATGGGCGAGTGCCCGAGCATGAGGCCCTGGTGCTCTTCCGTGAGGTGACGGTCGGCCTGGACTTCTTACATGCAAACGGCATTGCGCACCGAGACGTGTCACTCGAGAATGTACTGCTGCGCAATGGAGTGTGCAAGATCTCGGATTTTGGACTAGCTACGGACGCCGACCGCACGTGCAAGAACGATGTGGTGGGCAAAGCCTACTATATGGCACCTGAGGTGGTGGCAGGCAAGGCCTACTCGCCAGTTTACGCCGACATGTGGTCTCTGGGTATCGTACTATTCGTCATGCTGACGGGCTCACCACTCGTGCATCGCGCATCCGAAAACGAAACCGGCTTCATAGGCTTCTTGCAGCTCGGTGTTCGTCGTGTAGTGCGCGCATGGAAGATGTCGTCCTTCATTTCAGAAGAAGTATGCGACCTAGTGTCGGCGCTCTTGCAGCGCGACCCGACCCAACGCCTCACGACAGCCCAAGTGCTCGCCCACCCACTGTTGCAGTTACCATGAAGTGTTTGCCCTAACGTATCAAGATACATTAGGGCAAAAGCTGTCCAGAAGCGCGTTAAGATTCGTATCTTATCGCGCGTGTGGTGTTGCATGTCCATTTCATCTCGATGTTGAATACACAAATACGGGAATTGAAGCTATTAACAGTAGAGCAATGGCTGAACAGCGTACCGCCTCACAAATGCAAGCAGGTACTGTTGCTAACGCGGGCACCAGCGTTACCTGCAAGCCATGTCAAGGTTGTAAAAAAAGTTTCGTTGTGAACTTCAATCTTGGTGTACCACACAACGCAAAAGTTTGTGCAGCATGGAGAAAGAAGGCGACAGCACCGCATTCGATCCACTCGCGGCGCTCGAGGCTGAGTACGCGGCCGTCGTGGCGCAGAGTAGGCACTCTACAGAAGCACCAGCACAGTCAAGCGATGCGGAATCCGCGGACAGTGACAGTGAACGCGAGGAGAGCGCCGCAGTAGGGGATTTTGAGAGCTACGCTCTTTTGCCTTCATCCCCTTGCAATAGCGACGACGCGGCGCCCGACGCGGCCCCGGGTTTTGAGGACGACGCAGTTAATGAAGAGGGCACTGGAGAATACAGCCAAAGTGAAACGAAGACGGAGGAAGCGTCTACTCACGCGGTGGACTCCCGGTTGCAGGAGGACAAACGTGTAGCCATCATGCAGAGTATGCAGCAGGTTAATCTGCGCCCGCCGCCATGGGCGGAAGCTGCTAATCTGACGGAGGATGAGCTGGTCGATCTGGTGCAGAAACAACTCGAACTGCAGAGCAACACAAAGTAACAAGGAAAAGATTTTTATTGCTAGTGACAGTGTGATAATTTTCTATGCCTGCGTGTTCAGGCTCTAGGAATTTACTTTCGCAACAGCACGATGCTCGTCGCTGCTGCTGCCGCAAGTGCAGTGGCCAAATAACGCAGCGCTGGTTCTTGAGGTAACCAAAAAAATGGCTTGGAGAGCGGACAACCATTCACGCCAGTCTTCTTTAACCTATCCTGATGGTTCGGTAGTGGCTCGCCAGTGACCGAATCGACCAGCGCTTCGTCCGTAGATAGCACGCGCGTGCCACCTCCGACGCGAGACACGTACATCGTTTTCACACTATCAGGGATGCGCGGCAGCTTGAATGTCTTGCCGCTCTCGAGCGAGGCCTCCATCCGCGATAGAAGCGCTTGGGATGGTGTACGGTTCACTTGTATCGACGACTTGATTGTCATCTCTGATGACGTGGGGAAGCAGTGATGCACAAGCGACACGACTTCCTGCACGTGTTGCTCCTCGACAAAGATCACTGCGTTCGGACCGGCGTCGAACGTGTAGGCAGCTTGCACACGACCAGCCTGCTTGTTGTAGCGGTGCACTAGGTGGATGATTTGACGAGACACGTCGTTAAGATAGAAAATCGGCGGTGTGGTGTCTAGACACGTGGCGTGAAAATGGTTGCTGTCTTGCATAGTAAGTGTACCGAACGCCTCAAAATCCCTGGCCAAGATTGCCTGCTCCATAGTCTGCATCCGCTCCGGCACCAAGTGCTTCGCTCGGTACGCCAGTAGCGAACTCGTGGCCTTGGACGTCTGCATACCGGTGGTGCTACTTGTGTCCTTCTGTGCATCATTTACTACACACACGACGGCGCAAAGTTCCGGCCAATGCAACTCGTCCGCAACCTGGACGGCGATGGAATCGTGTCCGTCGGGTCGCTCTCCCTTCTGCCAGGCAACGAAGCCTCCATCTAAACTTCTACAGGCAGATCCTGAGCCCTGTCGCGCGATAGCCGATAGCTGGCCGGTAAACTCTTCGTCGGCTTTGGAGACGCCGTAGAACTCAGCCAATGCCGCTACGAGACACGCGTAGCCCGCGGCGGACGACGCCAGTCCCGCTGCGGTCGGGAACGAATTCGTTGATACAATGTGTAGGTGCTGCGGATCGCTCTCGCCGTGTACGCGTTGCGCTAGCTGTTGCATTTCGCGTAGCACCACAGTCACGCGCTTGTTAATCGGCTGCTCCTGGCCATTGAGCCACAGCCGCGTGGACTGCAGCTCCGAGCCTCCGGCCACGGACGTTGTGGTGCGCAGCTGATTCTGATGCAACGTCACGCTAACCGACGAGTTGATAGGAGTATTAAGTGCCACATCGTCCTTGCCCCAGTACTTTATCACCGCAATATTCGTAGGCGCCGAGCACGTAGCCACCTTCATGTTGCCACCTTGGACGAAGATACTCCAATGAGAGGTCCATACGACACCAACGTGGCAAAATTACGTTGAGCCACACAAAGTATGACATAGCCCCGCTCCAATTCCATACGATAGGTCGCATTTCTCGCCATACAACCTCACCAAGTCCGCAATGGGCGTCATCTCTGTGGGCGCGTCATTGGGTGTGCGCGAGGCACGAGCGCCTCCCGCGCCAGCGTCCGCCTCCAGCTCATCAACACGTCGCTCTTCGACCACTGGCCCGTCCTCTGCGGCATCAACAGGCCGCAAGAAATCGTCTCGGAAGAGAGTGGCCGGTGCATCTGGAGCCAAGAAGCAGCGCTCAAATTACAGCGCAAATACAGCCAGAAACGAGCGTGTATCTACAGCACCAAGTGTACCTACAGCACCTACTCCCAATGTTCGTGAAACTGCGCCGCCTAAGCACACAACCGCCAGCGTAAAGCCGTCTGTCTCGATGGTGATCAACACCAAGAAACCTGTGGGACGTATGGTGCATATCAAGACGACGATGGACCCACAACGACTCGCACCGCATGTAATTGGCGATAACGGCGATAAACTTACTGATATTATGTCACGCGCACGGTGCAGCATCAGTTATCGCAAAACACAGTCAGTGGAACCGAATGAGGACGAGGCGTTGTCCATGGCCTTCATGATCTCAGCTAACACAGTTAAGCGAGTGGACGACGGTGTCTTGTTATTACAAGCAGTAGTGGAGAGCACGGAACAGCAGCTGAGGAAGCACGGAGGGAGCATGGAAGAGGTCCAACTGGAAGAAGAACGTGACGTGCAGGACGTGGCAGTGGCTATGAACGAGAAACACAAGTCTACCGCGGAACAACAGCAAGCAGGGACTAGTGAAGTGATGAGACACGTTAGTGAAGACACAACAAGGAACAGGAGTCGGAGTCGAAGTGCAGCAAGAGACGAGATGACACAGCGGCACCCTAAACGTAAATGCGTAGGAGGTGCTACAAGTAGCGTGTCGAAACGTGGAAGAAGTGAGGAGCTACGTACTGTGGATGATCGTCACTCTCAGCGATCTGCTAGGAGTCAGGACGAAGAGTCCAAAGAAGACAGAGATGCGGTTGTACATGACGCTGTGGCCAGAGCCGAAGAAGAACGGCGTCTGCGTGATGATAGAGAGGCGTATCGGATACGCTTAGCGCGTACTGTAATGATCCAGCGACGATTAGAAGCTGAGGCGAAGCGTGCTCGCGTACAAGAATATTTGGAGCGTGATAAGTATCTGCAACTTCGACGCAAGTATGAGGAGATGGAACATCGTAAGAAAGTGGCAGAGCTTGTGGTGAAGAAACAGTGTAGTGCAATGACCGCGTCCTTGTCTACGTCGTCACCTAGCAAGACAAAGCGATGTCTTCGAGAGATCGAGAGACTTAGTATCGCTTATGATGCATGTCCATCTGCACTTGTCCCCAAGTTGCGAGTACGCGCCTTGAAGGCTAAGCGCGTGGAGAAGGATACGCCACGCTTAGCTGGGTTTCAGCTGATTGCACGAGATATCACGGAAGACGACGACTTGATGCGATTGGTCAAGAGAGTGAAAGCCTTTGGGAAGATGATCACGTCTGACTCAGTGGAGCCACTTGTGGAAGACGTGGATGTGGAGAATAATGAGGATAGAACTGAGACGTTTGGATTCCCCAGAGAGGATGCAAATATTTCGATGGATGTTTCGATCGATGGGGCAGAAGTTGATGTGTGTGTGGACTCTCATGCTGATGATAACGAGGAGAAAAGCAGTTCTCGTCGTGATTCTTTCCGGTCGACATGGGACCTTCCTGGCTTTACCCGCGACCTTAACTTGATTCAAGATTATACTACGGAGACGGACTGCAAGTTGTTGCGCTTTTTGGCAGGAGAGCGTCAGTACTTCTACTTGGAACCACTTGGAAACAACAACACGTACTCACATGACGTGGAGAGATGGCTACTTACGACGCACGATCTTCATATATTGCATCGATATCTACTGGACCGCGCGGATCTCGGCAAAGACTTGGTGTTGTGTGCTGAACGTCTGCGTGCACTTGGGAACTTGGTGCCTCCTCTACCTTCCTCAACGACCGAGAACCCGTTGACCGGTGAGTTGGGTGTGTTCGAGTCCTCACGACACAAAGGGTGGAGTGAAATGCAGGATATGATTGTGACATTGCATTCGCTTGCACTTGTGGCGCACATGTTGGGGAAACACTATGTGGCTCGACAAGTTATGGGCAGTAACCGCACCATAGGCGCCAATCACGAAGATATTTTAAACGAGAGAACACTGCAGTCGGATCTGTTCACGTACATCCTGCGTCCTATCCGATCTTCTGCCATTGAGTCGAGTTTATTCGACTCGTTGCCAATTTCTCTCGTCCGTGAAACCATCGAGCAATGCCCCGAGGTCGTCAACCATGTGTTGCAGTGGAAAGGCAAGGGCGACGTACCGGAATACCTTCGTGAAGTGGATTCCTTTGAATCTGAGGCGGGCGACGTGACAGCTGACCAGCGAATGCATCCCAGCAGCAGCTATTTTTTACGGAATCTGTTGGGGAGACTTACGACACATATGCGGGCTCTGGATAGACTAATGCAGGACTTGGTGGCCACTTTGAGAGAGAAGCGACCAGAAGTTCACGTGGATAATGCCAACTCGGTTGTTTTACGTCGTCGACGCATCATTGAGCATGTAAATCGCTTGAAATCCGTGACGACGCATGTGATTGTGGAGAATACGAAGCTGCAGCTACACAAATGGTGGCTGCTCTTTGCAGAGAACTCGTGTGCGTGGTTTGATCCGGACGATGTGGACGAATTGGACGACAGATCCTACGACAAATTCACTTGTCTTCAAGACGCCTTGTACATATGGCACAACGAGGCACTGTTGTACACAACCAAGGACGATTTCGTGGACCCTGAGCGTCTGGTTGAACGAGACGAGTCGTCGATTTATCCTACTGAAGAGAACTCAATTGACAGTGGATATATTGGCGTATCGACGGGTTCCAACCGTACGTCCATGCCACGCGAAGAGGAAGTGGCTGCTCTACTTCGATTAACCCCGACAAGCATGCGTGACGAGGTACAGAACCGGCCATTTACACGAAAGGAGGCGAAGAAGTGGATAATGACGCCGTCGCATCTTGAAAAAGCGCGCTCTAAACTTGAGGAATCGCTAGCGACCACGCGAGATTTGATATAGGAATTGGGACACACTGGACTGTGACGTACGCACGTGGATCATTCCAACACCTTGAAGCGTGAACTAGCAAAGCAAGTGGCGATCCAGAAGAAGCTCTTAAAGCATCAGTGGGCGAGATACTCCCTGAAGTACCAGGAGTTCGCACCACCACAGGAAGAAATGTTGGACCTGGAGAGTGAAGATAAGGCTCCATGTGAAGGGATCGAGGCGCAACCGGAAGGTGAACCCACGTCGGAAAAAAGAGGCGATTCTATGGCCATGCCGATCGATTGGACTGGTGTGTTCGACGCTGTGAATGACCCTCCGGACGTGATTGAGATGAAGAAGCTTCGACATGAAATCACGCTCGCTAAAGACCAATTATTGCGTGATATTAGTGGAGATAGGGATCAGGACTCTGGTGCTGCGCTCAATGCAGACCAGAAAGCTCTTATTGAAGAATGCAACGGACTTGCGGCGTCTTGTATGCAAGCACTAGGAAAGTTTCTGGGTGTGGAAGAAACCGTGATACCAGTGCGAAAAGCAGCCTCGCGTTCTGCAACGAAATCTGCGAAGCGAGCCGCGTCGGCTTCGATGAGAGACAAGGTTTCTCGAACTGCGTCTAGCAGACGACACTCGCATGGTTCGAAGAAAGCGAGTTCGCATTCGAAAAGTCCAGGGAGGAGTCGACGAATCGAGTCGATCCGTGTTGCCAAGGCCCTCGCAGCGTCAAGTGCTGCTCTCTTGATCCCTACGACGCGAGCGAAGACGTCATCGTCCAGAGCGATGTCTGTGCGTAGTATTGGCAACAGTCGTGGTCAGCGTACCGACGACAACTCACCGCTCCGCATGGGATGCTCCGGCTGTCGAGATACGCGTCGTCGTTGCACCGGTTGCTCCGGTTGCTGTCTGCATTGCGTGTGTGTGAGATGTGGATGTCGTATGTGTTGCTCGTCTCGGCTTGCTGCGGTGCAGAAAACAATGACACATATGCTGGATACGATCGAGGAGAAGGAGGCTTGTAAATGGATGAGCAACGCGTCAGCAGGAAGTCAAGGTCATCACTGTGGCATGTTATTCTTCTGTGCACAGTGTCATTGCTGCGAAGATCATTGCCCGTGTCTACTGACTTCTTCCGTGGCATCCGAGGCCGCAGCTCCGACAGCGTCAGACTCGTCGTCTGGATTCATCGCATCACTTAATGCAACTTTAAGAGGAACAGCAGCTGCAACAGCATCACGGAGAGAACGCCGCTTTAAGATCAACCCCGTAGCAGCTCAACGTCGCGGCTCCAACTTGCCTACGAACGGAAAGGAAAAGGCGACTCCAACGTCAACACATGGACGCAACGGCGGACCGGCATTCGCGCGCCAAGCACATGGACGGGCCCCGCTTCCTACGTTCGACTACGGTATTGAAGGTGCCTTCGGCCTTGGGCCGATGGATCAACGTGGCCAGTGTCGCACGTGGCGCCCCGCGCCATCGGATAAGAATGAACAAGAGGACTTGTTCCGCGCAGCGCGTGTACGCATGAAACTCGTGCGCTCCGCATTTGCTAAGAGTTCTGGTTCGTCGTCAGGTTCGAGTTGCTTAGACGGTGAGCAGTTGTGGCAGCCAGAGCGAATCCGAATGATGTGGGAACGTCGTGACTTTCATGGAGTGTTGGGACTGCCGCGTGATGCCACGACGCAACAGATTAAGCGGCAATATCGCAAATTGGCACTCAAGTTGCATCCGGATAAAGCGTCTGATACGTCGGCGTCGTTGGAGTCGACAGTGGCAGAAGCGGGCAAGAATGTTGCGGCTGGAAACTCCGGTAAACGTGTAGATGCCTTTGTGGCCGCGACACACTCGTACAAGATTTTATTGGGAGACGTTGATGCCATGCGGGGACTTGGTTAAAAATGAATAGACGTGGTTCTTTGAGGGTCGTTTCGCTCTATTTCAACTTTTTACTGGGCACAAGCAAGATGGATGTGAATCGCATCTTCTCGGCGGAGCAGATCGCGGTGCCTCCAGACCTCCCGCACGTGTTGAAGGACTGGACGAAAGCTGTGATCCGGGAGAACCCCACCGACTTGCTATCTTTCTCGCAACAATGGTTCCAGGACAAGGCTGCGCAAGTGTCGCAACGGAAGGCTGTAGAGAACCAGATCCGACGTATGCGGCAACTGTTTGAGAGCTACGATGTGGATGGTCAAGGTCGCATGGAGGCAAAAGACCTCGGCAAATTTCTGGGTGAAGATCTTGGCATGGACGGATACGAAGATGGCAGTCCTGCTGAGTTGCTGGATGATCTGGTCATGGAGTTAGACCCAGATAACACTGGATTCGTTGAGTTGCACGACATTATCCAGTGGTACCAGCAACGGTAGTGCCCTTATGCTGAACGAACATTTGTCGCTTTTTTCACATTTTATTTTTCAGTTTTTTTTTCTGTTGCTCTGTTGCCATCTCCTCTAAGTTGCTGTAGTTGCATATCTATCGAGTACACCAGACCAGAAGATTGCGTTGCTTTTTTTTAACTCGAATTCGTGGCCGTGTCCGCAACGGACGTAGCAGCCGCAGACTTAGAGTCATTCTGCCAGATGCGGATCGTGCCGTCTTCCGAACCCGTCGCGAACGAGTCGCCCGACGGCGAGTAACGCAGACATCTCACCGGTCCGTGGTGTCCCTTATGCGTCTCCAGTAGCTCTCCTGTCTTGAAATCGAACACACGCACCCATGTGTCTGAGCCACCGGCCACAAACTTGCTCTCCGTTGGATGGAGCGACGCGCCTCCTTCTTCTGCGAAAGAAATGGGCATCGGGAACGAATTCAACAATGCGAAATCATTCTTCACGTCGTAGAAATACACCTATAACAGCAATAACAAATGAGTCTTCAATAGTAAGAAAATTAACGTCATCTCCTGGGTTTTGTACCTGTTTGCCGGCCGCGACCGTAAGCACCTGTCCGTCCCTGGACGCCTCCATGTCCATAACGTCTGCGTCCACCTTCAACTGTCGCGTCTGGGTGTACGCGTGCAGGTCCCAAATGGTTACTGTACCGTCCACCTCGCCCGTAGCTGCCAGTCGGTCACTGAGAACAACAACCTTGCGAATCTGCTGGACTGTAGGCATCTCTGCGAGTGGCGGAGGCGGCAGCACTACGATGCCCGTGCGTCCTTCAGCCTTGTAGGTCTGCAGCTGTTTTTTGACGCCCTGTACATCGAAAACTCGGAGAAGCTTCTCATGACCCGCAGTTAACAGTCGTGCGCCGTCCGACGTGAAGGCCACACTCTTGACCACGTGCTTGTGCTCCAGTGTCGTTACCACGTCGCCCGTGAGCGCGTCCCAGATTTTGACCGAGAAGTCGGCACTGCCTGTAGCTGCGAACTCGGCCTCGTTGTCCAGTTTAGCGCTCCACACTGCGCCCTTGTGGCCTTCGAACGTGCCGATCCAGTCACCAGAGCCGCCGTGCCGCAACATTGGCAGCTTGTCGTGACATGCCGAGATCAGAAGATTACTGCGACTGTAGTGCAGCTCTGCCAGGGGACGAGAGTGACCCGGACACACGACCGGGATCTGGCGCAGCGCTGCAGGCGAAGGAGGAGACGCCACCGGGGAGCTCATGGCCGGGACGTTACTGTTGGGGAAGGGGACGCGGACTTGGCGTATGTGAAGATCACTTGACGGATGTTGCTCCAGTGCAGAACTGCGTGTTGCGCGAATATTCGTGCAACATACCTCAAGTTGCAGCGACAGGACAAACAGGCAGACACCCCACTTGTTTATCTACTACGTTTGCTGAATGGGAAAAGGCAGGCATCGATTTGTTTTATCTGTGATCGAATTACCATTTCAAAACGGCAAAAAAGGTCGATTTACAGGAAATCGATGTGGATTTGGTGGTTGATCGATCCCGAGTGGTCGATTTATCAGCCAGGCTTGCTTGATCGACTTGTACTTTTTAGAGACCTCGATTTAATAGAGCGACCTCTATTTATAATAAATCGAGCATCAGGCTAAGTGAAAAGGAAAAAAGCATTAAAATGCACAATAATAGTACTTATAAATTAAAATGATAATTGATGTAGTCGTCTACCATTGAAACATTCGCGAGATGGCAACATTTTTCCAGCGTTTCTAAACGCGTTGGGTCTCCATGCCTTATTTCAGACAAGGGCGGCACCGCGGTCAGTGAGGAGAGATGTCACAGCTAGTAATGTGTCTGTCCTGTCATAAAACCTCAAAAGGTTTATTTTTTTAATTAGGAATCCAAGCAAAAATGTTGTCTCACTCCGACCCAGTGCTTGCCAACATTTTTTAAAAAAAGAAAAATAGGAATTGATATATATGAAGGCCGAATAGATTAATGTGCTGTAACCCAAGCAGTCCAAAAAGACCACAAATCCAAGACACAAAATCAAAAGGGACTGGATAAAGCCACACAACCAAACCGCGAAATTATAAAATAGTTTGCACTTGAAATATAAAACTCTCTAAATTTGCACTATGCGAAAATCTCTAAAACACCCCTTCATCACGCTCTCCTCCGTCCTAAAAACCACCCCGTCGACCCCTTTTCGCCCGTTTCCAAAAGATTTTGAGCCTTTCATTTTGAAAACGCGGACGGTCGCCATGTCGAGCGAGGCTAGCGAGGATAGCGTGGCGAGTGTTGCGAGCGAGATAAGCGACGTGTCGCGGCTTGGAAACGGTGTACAGGAGGCAGAATCACCCGAGGCCCACGTTCCTGTCGCTCGAGCGCCTCATACGTCGGCGCCTCCTTTGCAAGACCGCTACTTTGACACGTGGGACGACTTTTTTTTATCGCCTGCCACTTACCAAGACGGGACCCACCAAGTCTTCAAGAAGCGAGCTTCCACAACTACTGCTGCGAGAAATAAGGATCTCGTCAAGCGCGGAAACGCCTCCAAGACGACTTCGATCCCGCCCTGTTTTGATAAGTACTACCGGCGATTCGTTTGCACGCACGGTTGGAGCCGTCCAAGCCGTTCGAAGGGCAAGCGCAAGAGCTATTTCGCTAAATCTACGGACTGCGAGGCTCAGCTATCGGACACTGTGATTTGGGTCAGCGGAAAAGGCTTTCAAGTGAAAGTTATTCAGCAAGTTACGACCCACAACCACGCTCTGGGGCCGGTTTCGTATTCCAACCACCCGGACAACCAACGCGTCGAAGACCCCGATGTTATCGACTTCGTCGACGAGCTACAAGCTGCGGGGGCCAAAAAGGAGACGATCATGCAGTTTATACGACGACGAACCGGTATGCTTCTACATTGTACGTTTATTTATGTAATTGGGCTGCTAAGCATTGAATGTCTGTAGGCAAGAACGTAACGCTGCGTGACGTTCACAACCTCGTGGCGAAACTGAAAGAAGGACGACGGGGGACGACAGCGGTTACAGCGAGGCTGGAGGGTGTGCTGCGTAGCTTTTGTCAAGGGAAGGGGAGCACTACTACTGTGTACGTGGATGATGATAAGCTGGCTCAGACTATCACGTTCCAAACACATCAGATGCGGCGTTTTTTTAAGCATTCCCTGAAGTGCTGATGGTGGATGCTACTCACAACACCAACGACGCCCGCTACAAGCTATTCAGCTTTATGATCCACGACGTGTTTAGCCATGTACGTCGATGTGTCTGTATTGTACTCGTTTGGGGCTTGACTAACGTTGTGAGACTTTATTGGACTCTGTGTGAATTTTGTGACATTGTGTGCCGTGTGGATTTTGGATGCGTTTTGTGACTTTTGTGTATCATTGGCTCGACTGGGTGACTTCTTGTCGAAGGGCCAGTATGTTCAACACGCACTGATGGAGAATGAAAGTGCTGAGTGCTTGGGCGACGCCGTGAAGTCCTTTAAGACTTTCAACTCTACATGGGACCAAGTTCGCGTCATTATCGTGGCCAAATATTTTGGAGAAATAGCACTTCTTCGAGAAGCTTTTCTGGGTGCTAGGGTGTTACTTTGTGAATTTCACGTGGTAAAATACCTTCGTGGCGAGGTTGGAAAACGCGACTACGGGGTTCTCGACAGAGAGAAGGTGGAGGATGCTGTTTACATGATGTTGAACGCGCAAACAAAGGTGGAATACGATACTGCGCGAAAATATCCCTGTTACATCGTCGATGGGAGGCAGATCACACTGGAAGACGACCTGGTCCACAACATCCGTTTTGAAGTATTTTTACTCGAACTGGCACATGTGTCGTGAAATGTGGAGCGGATACGGTCGGATCGACGTTCCTCACTTGGGAAATTCTACTAACAACCGGTTGGAAGCGGCTGGGGGGCATTTAAAGGAAGTTCTCAAGCTAACGATGATGCTGGATGAATGCGTCAATACTCTGCTGTTCCTCCAGTCTATCGCCGAGCTGGAGTATGAGAAGAAGATCACGGATGTGGGTCAAATGCGTTAGCAAGGTGCAGACTCTGAACTCCAGAAGCTGGCAAAGGAGGTCAGTCGGCACGCTTACGAGCTGGTTGAAAAGCCGTATCGTGTTGCCAATGACCGGAAGACGAATTATGTGGTTCGGGAACTACAGCCCCACATGTTCGAGCTCACGACTTTGGTGGAAAGCTCTGCGACTTATCATGTTGACACAAGGGTACATATCTTTAAACATGAATGAGTATTTGGAGTAATGCGTTATTATCCATGTTGTTTCTAGACGTATCGATGTTCGTGTACATTTATGCGAACGGAGTTGTTACCTTGTCGCCACGTGATTTATTGGCGCTTGATCTCGAACAAGAGCTTCATCCCGATCAAGTACATCCACCCGCGGTGGAGTCTGACGTGTCCGTTGAACATTCCGGTTCCCGACGACGAGCCGCTCGAAGATAGCCGTGTGTCACCTTTTCCGAGTCCGAGATTCCGCATTGACCGCCTCGCGACATAAGGTACTCAATGGTACATCGAAGTTTCTGACTGCGCGCGATATTAGTATCCGTATTGCGGATATTATGAGTCAAAATGGGACTCCAACGTTCGAGAAAATGTTGGCAGCACTGAAGAGGTTCGAGGATGGGGTGACGGATGGCGTGGCTCCGACCATTCTGGCTGGAGTTGGAGTTGGAGTCCACACATTACAAGACATCGATATCCGCTAAAATCACGCCGTCCGCTGAGACCACGTGTCCCCCCACTGTGAAAGCCGACAAGCGAAAGATCAAAACAGCAACGAGGGTGAGCAGGAGCCCGAACAGCCGTGCAGACCCTCAGTCAGAGTGCCGCGCCCACCCCGTCTCTCCATCGAAGTGACTGATCCACCCAGTCCACCAGTCGAAGTGCCGCGAGATTCAAGTCACACCGACACAGTAACAGAAGATTTACCGAAAGAGGAAGGATCTGTGGCTGGCAGCACGTCTACACCTGAAAGCTCTCCACAGAGCGACAAAGTAGTCATTTCGAAAAGGCCCAACAGTGAGGTGGCAGCTTCGAGCTCTAGCGACGAGGCTTCGTTTTTCAGAGCACCAAGACACAGGGTAGATCCAAAATACGCAAGAAGCAAATGCAAGAAGCGAAACGACAGCGCATGGATGGAGCCCAAAAAGAAGCAAAACAGCTCGTACAAGGTACTCTGATGCCAGTCTTCACTTTAAACGACGTAACCAGAGTGTTGAAGTCGTCGTACAGCTACGAATCAGCGTATGGCTTTCTCAAGAACGTTCCAGTGAAGGAAGTTGGTCCTCGCAAGCAGGCAATGGCGAGGGAGGTGAGCAGTAGTGAATGCATGAAGAGCGTACAATTCGCGCCGGAGTTCTCGAGAAAGTGTTCTCGAGCCGTGGAAGATTTCAAGAAGACTACTGGCCAGAGCAAGGAGACTACGGCGAAGCAAGCAGCAGTGGGGGCTCGCGTTTCTAAAATTGGCATCTTTCGCGATAATCAGATTGCGGTCATGATTGATTATTACAGGGCGATAGATTAGCTGACTGTAGTCGCAGAGACAGTGGAATGGATTGAAGCAGCGTCCCTTAATCGACTGCACGTACCTGAAGGTCTCGATGAATTTGTGAATTTGGACAAAACGAAGGCTGCCGCTGCTATCCAGCGTTTAGTCTTGCCAATGTCGCGGCAGTCGCCCTTCGGAAGAATTGCAAATGAGTCGCTGTTGCTGTTTTGCAAAAACTTGTGGCTCAATGACGACAGTATAATGCATACTATGACTACTTTCAGTGAAGAGATAAATGAACTTGAAGTCATATCGCCAGAATTTTACCGCAACGAGGGGCATGTCAACCACAGGCAGTGTTCTCGCCGGCTCAGAACAATTTGCAAAGAAAAAAAAGCTCACGCTGCTCCCGATATGTATCCATGGCAGCCACTGGTGCGATGCGGTGTTCAACTTTGTGGACGAACCAAACAACATCTCCCCTTACGACTTCCAGCAGCGAAGCGAACAAATCGAGGAATGCGAGAACATCGTCCAGAAAATTTTCCAGATAAAGTCGGCGCCTTTTGAGATAAAACATGAAACTCACCTGAAGCAGACGGACGGTGTGAACTGTGGTCCACTGGTGCTTCTGTTCTTTGAGTGCGCTATTCGAGGAATCCCATTGCCCACGAGCTTTGCTGCGGTACCTCAGTCTGCGGTTTTTGATGAAGTCCTTAACACAGAAATTGGCCAGCAAACTG